ATAGCAACTTCACGTTTTAGCTCAACTCAAGCTTCATCTCCTCTAAGAAGCCGTTCCCAACTTCCTAGGTGACCTCTGCCTTACTCCAGATCAGACTAGGCCCTGCATTAGACCTCACACCTTGCCCTGTGTTTACATAACTAGATCTGGGAGTGTCATCTACACTTTGGTTCCTCAGTAATAAAACCTCCACCCACTTCCCTGTCCTGAACCTCACAACTCGTCTACCATCAGAAAGAATAATAATAATTCGCTGCAGGAAATTAAACAAACCACACTGAATTCTCATTTTTTTCTTTTGAGCCTGCCCTAGCTTTGTAACAGTTAAAAAGTTATATAAGGGCATCTGTTGCATAGGCCTCGGGGAGCAGAGGAAACTACACAAAGTGAGAATGAAGTGGTGATGGCTCTCCACAACTGCACCACAGTGGTACCATTGAGCCATCATTTAGAAGCCATGGAAGAAGCTACTGCAGCTTCCTACACTCTGCAGCCATGAGGCTGACTCCAGAACACAGGGCCAGAAAAGACAGCTAGGCTGCTCCACATAGCCTCCACATCAGTTTTTGGGATTCCCAGAGGGAAGCCCTGTGAAACTGGAGATCCCCTCACACAGAAAAGATGCTTTGGGGCAAGTCCAAAATATTAATAACTATCAACATCTCATCACCCTGACAGGCGACCTGCCAAGAAGAAACGGAAACTGACCTCATCCCTCAGGATCCAGCTGATAAACTTGTGCTTGGATCTTTTCTGGTTGTGGTGCAAAACCCAACAGCCCGTACTCTGCAGGATGCTGTGTGCCCTTAAGAAGTGGGACCCACTCCTTGGTAGTCTCCAGGCAGATTCCTGGGGAAGTGTGCTGAGTGGATGCATAAGTGAATCCCCAGCCCCTGGGCTCTTATTTGCTCACTTCAGACGACAAGCAGATACAATAGCCAAGCAAAGCCACACACGTCTTGATCTCCATTTCAATTAACACCAGCAAAAGTTAACAGTCTCGATGGAGAAGCAAGGCAGACTTCGAGCAATAACCCAACCTAGCATGTGCCTCACTCATGTCTGCACCATACAAGGAATCATCACTGCTGTCTTTGGAGACAGTAGACTAACTTCACTTAGCTATTGTGCTAAGCAGAGAAAGAATGTCATGAAAATAGTAAACAAACCAACAAATACCCCAAAAGCTGTCTTCCTGTCTTTAACCAATGTTCCTATCTCCACTACTTCTACCCTCTGACAAGAATGCCAGACTCTATTACAACAAAAGGGTAAAATGCTTAAAGGGGAGAGGCCACATCCTATTCATATCTAGATACATGGTGCCTCCATTACTCGATTCAAAGCAAGCCCTTCCCCTCAGGCTCTCTCTCCAGCTGACTCAGACATCCTCCCATGGGCACAGGCACATTCTGAACCAGGCCCCACTTGCCTCCCCATCATTGGTGTCTAGCACAACATCTGGTTCACTGTAGATGTTCAACAAATGTTTGTGTAATTGACCTGAAATGATTCCTAGCAAAAATCTGCTCATATTCCAGTGTGGGTGCTAACTCCCACAAATCACACCACGTCCTTGTGTGGAAGATAAGGAGAGCGGATTGAATCTTCTCTCTGGCTGCCAGGCTTCAGACATTCAGGAAGCCCCCGCTGTACAGGCTTGTCATTTACAAAGAACACAACAGCAGTGGTCTCCCTTGGAGCTGTGCAAATAGCACCCTACCCAGATCCCTTCCCGTTTTATAATTCCGTGTTTAAAAAAAGAAAGAAAGCAATCTCAGATGCCCAAGTATGCATGACCTATTTATTGATCGATCAAATATTTGCTAAGTGCCCACTAACTTGTACAGACTAGGAATATAGGCCTACAAAAGCCCACTAATGAGTTGAAGAATCAAGGCGTTCAGTGAAAAGGAACTAAAGAACACAGGAAATCAGAACACAAGCAATCCAAATTACTAGGGCAACCTAGTAATCCTAAGGCTCAAAGGACAGAGAGGTTGCTATGGCTGGGGAGCTCAGACAGAGCAGAGGCCTAGAGTTTTGTCAGCATGGGTGGGATGGCTTGGTGCCCTGATGAAGGGAGCCCATCTCTGGGAGGTAACCACATCATGAAGGCTATCTATGTCTTTAATCCCTTGATAGAATCATACCATGATGGCATCATGGGGAGGTGGCAGAAAATAAGGGATGGAGCTTAATTAGAGGAAAGAGGTCCCCGGAGGCATGCCCTGAAAAGCTGTACCTTGCCAGCATGGCCTTCCTGCTGAGTAGCTCTGCTCAGCCATGTGCTTGCTGACAGGCTGATTCTGATTCTGCTTTGCCTCCCAAAGGCATCTAAGTGGGACTGAAACCTGTGACACTGTGAACCCAAAACAAACACATCCTTCTTCACCTTGTTTCTTCTGGGTATTTTCCATAACAACCCAAAGCCTAACATGTGGCCTCGCTCATATCTGCATAGCACAAGGAATCATCACTGCTGCCTTTGGTGGAGACTGTAGACTAACTTCACTATTATCCCCCACTATTTAGACTAACAGAAGGAGGAGCAAAGCCCTCTGAGCACAACACATCCAGTAAAAGCCACGTGGCTACACAGATCCCGGCCAAGCTCGAGCTGGTACTTGGGACACATGTACCTGTCAAAAGGAGGCCAGTCCATATTTTCCTATTTGCACATGCTTTATTTGAACCATGTGTTGCAGACACTTCCAAATGGCCCGCACGAGTAGAAGAGCACCATTGTGTCCATGAAGCCCACCATCTACAAACCTCAAAGCCATTATAAAATGCCTGGGGAGGGCATTATGATTTTCTGTCAGCAGGTTTATTTTTCTGGCCATGTTTTGTTGCAGCTAGTACAGAATGACACTGCGTTCCCTGGGCACATATGCACCGACAGATGGTGTAAGAGGACTAAAATCACACGAGCTCCTTCAGAGGAGCCAGCTCAGAATGCTAATGGAATCTGTGGCGAAGTTAAACAAGGAAAATTGAGAACTGACTCCAAAATCTGAAAACTAAAACGATACAAAGAATGCAATCTATGCCCAGGAAACCAAACCCCGGCCCTGGATGCCTTCCTCACATAGCAGTTTACTAACCACTACAATTACTTCCTCTCCTGCTTTACAGCTAGAGGATGAAATGCTGGTGGGGGCGGGGGTAGGGGAACCACAACATCCTGTTCATCTGTAGATGTACAGTACCTGGAATAACTATCACTCGCTCAGTGTGTGAGGTGTGAAGTAAATGACTAGACACACAAACACCAGCAGATACGTGGGATGCTCGCTCTGTGGATATTGTCCTCCCAGAAAAAGCTTGACTCCAGGCTCTAGAGCAGTGTGGTTCTCAACTTCCTAATGCTACAACCCTTTAATACAGTTCCTCAAGCTGTGGTGACCTCAACCATAAAATTATTTTTATTGTTACTTTATAACTGTAACGTTGCTACTGTTATGAATCTTAATGTAAATATCTATGTTTTCCGATGGTCTTAGGTGATCCCTGTAAAAGGGTCATTCGATTCCCTCTCCCGCAAAGGGGTCGTGACCCACAGGTTGAGAACAGCTGCTCTAGAGAAATAAGTGTCCATGCCACCCAAATCCAAGAGCAACCAAGAGGAAAGCCAAGACTAGTGTTCTGCTTCTCTCTGACTCCAGGAGGCTCAGTATACGTCCACTAAAGCATAAGGGAACACCATCTGGTAATATCTCCTTTTCAAAGCATCCGCTTCTTGCGCTTAGCCAGTTCTAAAAGGAGAAAAGGCAAGGGGAGCCTGCTTCCTTCTACTGCACAGTTTGACTACAGAGGCCCACTCTACCTCCCACAATCATCTAGCTAAAGGGTTCGGGTCAAAAACATGCAGAAATGAGGGCCAATCTGTCCTTTCCCATGGCAACTCTGGTTGAATGCCTTTATAAAAACAAGCAAAGAAATGACCCTGAGTAAAATCAAGCCTTAGTCAATCCGGGAGAAGTTACAAACTCCTGACACTTGGTTTTTTTCTTAGACATCACCCGAGATCAACTGTTAATAATGACTCTATCATTAGCTAATGGTTACTTCACCCTGCTGAGCCTCAGTCTCCCCATCTGTAAAATGAAGCAGTTAACCCCTAACATCCCTTCCAACTCCATCTATTACACCTCAAGACTAAATGTAGCACAGCGGCAGTTACCTGCTTACCAAGTGGCATGCATTCTGCAATCACCATCCTCTTGTCACAATTGCTTATCTTTTGACTATTAGTCATTCTGTGTACAAACCTTTGGATCCACCACTTCTACAAAGACATGTTCTAAACTGTCTAGTTACGTGCGATAAGAAAGCAGAAGGGGGAAACAGTTGGGGGAAGGAAGAGAAACAGCCAGTAAGGGGAAGGGACAACAGGCAGTGTAGTAGGGAGGGAAGAGTTGAGCAAAAGGAATAATATCATGTATAAATAAATACATTAATAAACAAACAAACAGACCACAATGAGACCCTTGACTTTGTATGTTAACCCAAAACAATTTGTTAAGAGAAAAAACACATAGATAGTTTTTAAATCGTTATTCAAAGGAATAAATATCACTCGCTTCTCGTAGCCCCCCTCGAAGACAGAAGAGACTAGTTATTTCAGAGACATGAAAAGTTGAAGTGATTTCCAGAAGTCTCAAGTTCTTTGTCAAGAACCTAGTGCTGCAGAGGGAATCCAATGGTCACTACACACACACCAGTTCGGGAGAACAGTTTGATGTCAAAAGAAAAGGAATAGGCAGAGCACAGTAACTGATGCCTACACTCCCGGCACTTAGGTGACTGAAGCAGGAGGGTTCCAAGTTCTACACCAACTTGAGCTACATAGTATGTTTCAAGACAGACCTTATGTGGGAAAAAAAAGGAGGGAGGGAAGGAGGGGGTAGAGAGAAGGGTAGAAATGATTTTGTTTTTGTTTTTTTTTTAAAAAAAAAAAGAGGAGAAGGAAGAGGGGAATAATCAGAAGTACTTACTTCAGTTCGTTGGTCTCCATGCCCTGGGCAATAGCCATGATGATGCCTCCATGGTCCCCCCATGTATAGTAATGAGGTCCAGGAAGGGCCTGAGTAAGAAAAAACCCAGAAGTGATACAGTGATGCAGAGGTGAATGTAAAAACCCACACACACACACACACACACACACACATACACACCCACACACACACACACACACACACACACATACACACACACACACACACCATAGCAATGACAACAGCTAGAATGAAGCTTCCAGTGTTGAGAACCTGTCCTTATCCATCCTCTCACGGTCTTAGAATCTAACACAGCTAAGTCCTCATACCCCAGAGTCAAATTACCTGAGAGAGAGAGAGCACTTGGCTAAAATGCATGAAGCCTTAGGCTTCATCCTCACACTGCAAAATACATAAACAGCCAGGCAACCAAAGTTTCTGTTCTACTCTAACAATGCAAGTTCCCTGAAGCCTGGAGAAGCTACCCACATTGTTGCAGTTTCCTGATGCAGCTTCACCCTAAAGAAAAGTCCCCATTCGTGGAGCACCTCAGTTCCAGGGGAACTCAAACTTCCATAGACACTGTTGCTCCAAAAGGAATTGTGAAATAACTCCTTGCAGGCTGGGGACAGTGTGGGAGGAATCCAAGAGGATAAATCCCTTAATTGGACTGTACCTCTCTACCTAACCCTCAAACTACACTCAAATGAAGGGACCTTGAAAGCATCTAGAGAAAAACAGTGTTATATACATACATGAAAAAAATATGCTTGCATGAAAATGGGCTATTACATGTGCAAATGATATAGCTGAAGTAAGCACGGGTTGATGCTCATCAGAATCTGGGGAATAAGAGGCCGACAAAACATGTTCAAATTCCTATTAGCCCAGATGACCACCAGTCCCGATTTGAACAATGCCTGGGAATATGATGAAATAAGGATTCTCAAATGAAGGAAAGACAAGGGAACCCACAGCCAGTGGGCGGCCTCATAGATAGTGGGTTCTACAGGAAACGTTCGCGGTATCTCTTTAAGCTGGGGGGTATCAACCCAGGGATAAACTGGGATCTTCAGGAACTGTAGACAACCAAGAGAAATGGCAAATATCGGAGGGAAAATTCAAAACTGCTTTTTTTTCTTTTCTTTTTTCTTTTCTTTTTTTTTTTACTTTTTAAAAATCATCACTAGAATTTAGGTAAAAGAAAATGAGTGTTTTCAGAGTACATAGATGTGACAAATACAACAAAAGGTCAGGGGAGGGAGACAGACTCACATGATGCAAACTTTCCATATAAGTTCAGTATAAAATCAGTGAAGACCATGAAAGACTAGGTATGTATGTTCTAATCCTCAGAGAAACTGCTGGAAGAAAAGAAGAGAGAAATACCAGAAGAGTCTCCACTCTCTGGTGGCTGGGGAGAGAACTTAACAGTAGAGCACCTCACAAGCATGCACAAAGATCTGGGTTCAATCCCCAGCACTGCCAAAAAACATATAAATAATGCAAAAGGAGAGCAGAAAATGAGAGAGAGCCGAATGGATATAGAGGAAATGAATAACAAAAATATTGCCTTCAAGTTTTAATTCCATTAAGTAAATAAATAAGCAAACAAGCAAAGACTGGGCCAGTGAGATAGCTCAGAGGTGAAGGGTGCTCACATTCAAGCTAGACAACCTGAGTGTGTTCCTCGGGACTCAAATGTCAGAAGGAGAGAACCAGTTCCCACAAGCTGTCCTCTGACAGCTATACATGCACCTACCAAGCACCTCAGAAAAAATTTTTAATTAATTAATAAGGGGGAGGGCCTAGGCCCTGCTCCAAATGATATGACAGACTTTAAAGATCCCCCATAGGAGGCCTCGCCCTCCCTGGTGAGCAGAAAGGGGATGAGATAGGGGGTCAGTGGGGGGGGGGGCAGGGGAGGGAGTGGGAACTGGGATTGACATGTAAAACAAGCTTGTTTCTAATTTAAATAAAAAATAAAAATTCATTTATAAAAAAGCAAGAATCTACAAGCTGCCTATATAAAATTCTTTAAACACAAAGACAGATGAGTGGTAGGTAAATGCACAGAAACAGATGTATCCAGAGGAAATTTAAAGCCTTACATGTTTATATTTTTTAAAGTCTAAAATAGATAGCCTGTCAAAACACAGAGAAAATAAATAAGGAAAGTCTTAATAATCTAGTAGAGGAAAAACACAAATCATTGATACGAGGAATGAAATTATCACCAAAGACTCTACAGATGTTAAGAAAGTAACAAGAAAAGTTAAATTCAAAAATATGAGTAGTTATGCACCCAATAGAGAAATTGACTTTCTTGCCCAAAAAAATATTCAAAGAAGAAAATTTCAACTCAGTGGTGAATGGCACAAGACAAAGGCAGCCATTAACAAAGGAGGACAGCGAATCAGCTAATTCGAATGAGGCTGGCCAGACCAACACTGAAACTTGCCAAAGACACTGCAAATGGAATATTACATACTAGTATTTCTCACAAAGAGATCCTTTTAATTTTTAGCACATCAAACCTAGCTCTATTCAAATAGGATAATGTATCATGGGATTTATTCTGTAACTGGAAATTAGCTTAATATTCAGGCATTAATTAATGTAATCCATACAGTAACAAAGAAAATCTACACTATTACATTGATATAAAAGTGACATTTGGCAAAACTAATAGCTGATCTTGATTTTTCTTTAGGGTTATCAATAGAGTAGGAATAACAGGGACTTTTCTCTATGTTGGTGGAAAAATTTCATATACAATCAGTGGCCTATTGTTTGAAAAGGTGCACACCTGTAATCCCACTATTCATGAGGCTGAGACAGAGAACAGAAAGAGTAGCCTTCCTGGATTACAAAGAGAGATTATTGTTAAAAATAACAATAATAATAAGCAGATAAAATGTTTCTCCTTGAGATAGAGAACAAACTGGAATACTTACTCTTCCTACTTCTACTTAAAACTACATGGAGTCACCATAAAGAGGAGAGAAAGGAAACTAAAGAGAGAACACAACACAGAGGGCAGAAAAGGAAATAATGTAATAAAAGATCAGAAAGGAAGAAATGTAACTGCTTCCCTTTACATCTGGTTCGATTGTTTATAATAAATCCAAATACAAGATAACTAAAGAAAATGAATTCATGCCTTTGGCAATGCCATAGGATGCTGAAAGTATTGTTATATATTAGGATAAAATCTAGGAATGAAGCCAGATATGGTGATGCGTGCCTTTAACCCCAATACTCAGGAGTCAAAGGCAAGTGGATCGATGAGTTCAAAGTCACCATGTTCTATATAGCAAGTTCCAGGGCAGACAGGGGTACACAGAGAGACCTTGTCTTTAAAAAAAATCAATAAAAAAATCTAGGAATAAACTTAAAGTAAAATTCCATTTCGAGAAATACCAAGTTTAAATATCTAAGAATAACACACATATGTATTGTAGCTCCGTGAAGTACTTGTCTAGTAAGTGGAAGACCCTGGATCCAATCCCCATTGAACTAAGAAAAGAAATATCAAGTCAGGCATGGCAGCATGTGCTTGCAATCCCAGCACTCAGGAGGCAGAGACAGTAAGACCATTTGTTCCAGCTTGAGCAACCTAAAGAGATGACATACAGGACTTTTACATTAGAAACTTAAAGATGCTAAGTAAAATTAAAGACGACATGGAGAAATAGACTACAACTGTAGATCAAAAGACTCAATGTTATTAAGAAGTCAATTTACCCTGAAACCAATCTACCTATTTAATGCACGCCAGTGAAAGTCCTAGAAAAACTGACAGGGAATGCGGAAGTGCAAAAGACTGTGAATAATGAGAGCAATTTTGAAAATAAGCAAAGGACTTACCCTAATTGATTCCAACACTTGCTGTAAGGCTTTGGTAATCAAGGCAATATGGTCGTGGTGGAAAGCAGACACTAAGTTCAATGGAACAAAACAGAAAGCCCTAAAATATACCCACATACACATGACAAATTGATTTCCAAAGAGGTACTAGGACAACTCAACAGGAGAAAGAGAAGTCTTCTTGACAAATGCATAAAATGGAATAATTAAAGGAGATGTGAAAAAGTGGTTCGATTAGATTAAAATGTAAAAAAATGGGGGAGGCAACCTTTCTCTTATGACAGATTTAGAAACTTACTCTAAATGAATCACATATTCAAACACAGCTTAAAAATATAGGACACACAGAAATGGGAAAATTAAGTGTCAGAAATTAAAAGAGCTCTACTATTCCAAGGATTGACAAGTTAATTGGATAAACAAAAAACACTGTTATCCCTACAGTGGGGACAAAACTTAGCAGCAAAACAGGCAAAGGCCACAGGCAATGAAGCCTAGTGGATGAGCTTCTAATTCTCATGAGTGAAAGAATCCAGGAAAGTAGAATAAACATTGTATTGATATAGAACAGCACTGACATAGATTTCTAGGCATGATAGCAATATGTTGCTGTGGTTACAGATAGGATGAGGGTGGAGAGCAGAATGGATTTACAAGAGGATACAAAAATACTTGAGGGGGTTTTGACACTTGAATTTGTGGCGATGAGGGATGGATCTGATCAAAGAACACTTCAACAGATTTGCTGTAGTTCACAGCTCTCGATCAAGCTGTTATAGAAGCAAGAGTAAGAAGGAATTGTGCAGATCAGAGAATTTGCATAACTAGCTGGTTGAAGGGCAACCATGTCACTAGTGTTCCCTGCAGCAATCTGTCACCTATAGCCTTCATCCCCCAGAGTAGGGAATGGCTGATGCACATCCCACATGGGGCCTCTGTGGTGAAGGCCACCCACTGGGACTCTCATGCTCCCTCATAGGTAGTCTCTGCCTCCCACCTCCAGTTACTTCTCCGCTAGTTCCCAAAACAAGGTCTCTTGGGTGCTGACTACTTCCTGGCAGGTATTACGTATGCCTGGAGAGAGTCTCAGACAGCTGCCCTGGCAACAGCCAGGCAACGCTGCTCCACTGGAGGAGGAGCAAGACACAGATCTCTACCCAAAGGAAATCACCTGCAGATGTTCCAGTCCCTGTTGTCACCAGCAGCAGAAGGTACTAGAAGCCTGCAGGCCTCTCTGCTGATGAGAAGACATCCCACTCCAGAGGAAGCAACAGCTCTGTGGCCCCGGGGAAGCAGCTGTTGCATCCTTCCCATGGGATAGGACAAGAACGGACTGAAAATTCCAAACCTTGAACTCTTGTTTGACCACTATGTCCTGATCACTTCCTTGAGATGAATATGGGCTTGTATTTTCCACCACTCTGGTAGAAGCCTTAAATTGTGCACACGTATGCATATGTACACGTGCAGACACTCACATGCATACACACACACATACACAGGGTCAGTGTCTGTGATCTCCATCTCTCATAGAGAGGGATGATAAGCAAGCCTGGACCACATATGAGGGAAAACATAGAGCAACATTTGCAAATTACCCAGAGCCAGACTGTAACATTACTGCTTTGCATATTGCACATTTAAATGTGGAAGTGTGCATGCTTCATTCTCCGTAGGAAGTATGTGGGGAGGGACTATGACCGCTGACTCTTCAAGCCAACCATACGACTCTGACCTGATGCTTCACAAATTACTGTGCACCGATCTGCTGAGGATCTCAGGAACCACCCCCAGGGTCAACATGGACCCCAGTCCCTACAGAATAAGACCACATAGACTTTCTTTGGCTCCAAGTCACAGGAGGCCAAAGGACATTTTTCCAAGTTTAGGGACACTCTAACATCCGAGGCCACAGCTTAAGCAGTGACTCATACTGGAGAACCTTGAGAAAGGGCATAGTCAGTGCTCAAGATTCAAATGGGGTGTACAGGGTTGAGACAGAAAGCAATCTCCTCCTACAGCATGGGGAAGATGAAAGTACCCAGCCAGTGTGGTTCAGAAATCAGCAGTGTCAGACCCACCACAATTGCATTGTAATTCCCAACACATTCACCAAATATTAATGGGCATTTTCTCTATGCCAGACACTGTTACAGCCCAGGGCTGAAGTAGGAACAAAAAAGTTTCTGTATCCCCATCCCTACCCCCATGGAATGCATAATCCTGGAAAACTTGGTCAAATTCACAGTTGTTTCTAATAAAAGTTGAAAAAGTCTGTTTTTTATTTAAAGTGATATTTTAGCAAAAGTCATGAGCACATGATAGGGTGTGAATACAGAGGCATGTGGCTAGCTCTTCTGTGGGGCCATGGGTTTCTATATGAACATATGGATCAGATGAGCATCACAGACCTCTACCCGGGGACCACGGTGGCCCTGTAATGTTGGTGCACAGTCCACATGCTCACTCTTAGAAGAGCCTTAGAACTGACCTCTCTCCACCTGGCTCCAGCACTGCTAGAGATGTACACATTGGTCTTGCTGGCCAAGTTCTTTCCCACTGAGCCTGAAACACAAAGAGGAAGAATGATTATTCATTCAAGAAAATGCTAGAAATGCATCTGGCCCCACCAGACATGCCCAGTAGTAGCTAGTTCCTAAGATGATGTGTTAAAGCCATGAGGAGTGGTCACTCTGGAGGTGTGGATGATCACTATATATCACTGAAGCTCCTGTGACAGGGGGCAATGAACACTTACCGGTGGCAATGATGAGGCCGGGGGCTGACTCCTTGGACAGGATAGGCATTCTCCGGAGTTGGAGGTTGAGCAGCTGACTGAGACGCTGGGCCAGGTGGAGGGAACAACCTTGGGAAAGCTTCAGAAGGAAATTTCCAGATGGGATCAGCATGCAGCACATGCCTAGGACTCCCTCAAACCCAGGAGTCTATCCAAGGACCCCATAGCAAGACCCAGAAGAAGGTCTGGCCCAGAAGAAAACAGACTTACAACCCAGTGGTCTCCAAATCTCCCTAGACAGAGCGCATCTTCCGAACCAACATAAATGTCTACCACTGAAGAAAAGAGAAAAATAACTTAAAGTCCTGAGACTCCCAGGAATAGCAATTACAAACCAATGTCAACTCAAATCAAGAAGAAAGGCGCTCCATGGCTGGTGTTACCCAGAGACCCTTTCCAGGGACTCAGAAACAAAGAGAAGCAAAATGGTGCGTTGACTGAGTCAGTGCAGATGTGCCTCAAATACGATTCTAGAAGCCTTGTTAGAAGGAAAACAATCAGAAGTCGAAATGTCTCATTGGTACATGGCCAGATGATTCATATGTGAGATAGGAATACCCTAGGGGTCATGTGGAAACCTTAAAGGCGTATCCCACATTTGCACAAAGATGCAAGCTTTATTGTCATGGAAGCTGGCTTCCTCACTGAGTGCTAATGCTGACTGATAGTTCTACAGACCACCACAATGCTTCTGCCTTATTCTCCTGGCCAGAAAAATGATGGTCACAATATTTCAGTGATCAAAACAGGAATTATTTGCTCCTGGCACAGGTAAGGATGATGACAGGATGTTTAATCTACTTCTTTTTATCACGCACAAAGAAGATCCTTCCAGCAAAACAATCTTGCTAGCTTCCCAGTTTGGTCAATTAAAAATAGGAGGAAGTCAGGTGGGCTCAAAGAATTTTTCCTTGCCCACTTCTTCTTTTCACTCCTGTTACTTCACCTACAAGGAGGCTGATCCTTAGAAGTGCTTCTGCATCCTCGTGTCCAAGTTTTTAGTTATCGATATAGTCTTTTCTCCACCCGTAGTTGCTTGGATTGAAATAGCCCTGAGGGTCCTGTTCTAAGGATGTGATCACAAGATTTTGGTACTTCTGGGAAGTGGTAGAATCTTTAGGAGGTGGGGCCTAGTGCCAGTCATACCATTAGGTGTACCTTTGAATGGGACACGGAGACACTGGCTCTTTCCTTTTTGGGTTTCTTATATCCATTTCCTATCTGCCATGATCAAGCAAATTTATTCCACCACGCATTCCTACCACGATGTTCAGCCTTGCCACTCTCTGACCCAAATCAACAAAGTCAAGCAAACTCAGACAAAAACTACTGATACCTCCAAAACCTTGGGCCAAATATCAGTCTTTCTCCCTTACAAACTGATAATCTCAATCACTTTGTAATAATGACAGAAATTTTATCAGTTTGACTGGACCCATAATCACCTAGAAGATACCCCTCTGGGTGTGTCTGTGAGGGTGTTTCCAGATAGGCTAAACTAAGGAAGATAATCTCAATCACTTTGTAATAATGACAGAAATTTTATCAGTTTGACTAGACCCATAATCACCTAGAAGATACCCCTCTGGGTATGTCTATGAGGGTGTTTCCAGATAGGCTAAACTGAGGAGGGAAGAACCTCCTTAGGTCTGAGGTCCCTGCCTGAATGAAAAGAGATACAGGCGAGAGCAAGCTAGGCACCAGCACTGAGCCTTTCCCACCACAATGGATGGTAGCCTCAAACTCTTGAGCCAGTTAATAACCCCTTTCTTCCTTAAGTTGTTTCTTATTAGCTATTTGGTATACAGCAAAGGGAGAAGGACCCAACCACCACCTAAAGTAAGAATCAGAAACTAAGAGCTGATTGATAATCCTACAATTATAAGTCTGAGAAATAACAATGCCACTGAATCTGTTTAGCCAAGCTCATCCCCACCATGGCATGTTCAAAACAGCCTAGACAAATCCAGATCAAGACAGGCCAAACTTCTGTTGTCCTAAATACTGAGGAAGGGAACTGGCTAGGTGTTTACCCATGTCTATTTGTAGCCCTCCTCTTTCCAGAGTTAGATTTCATGTGGTATAACGAAGACTTGTGGCCCCAAAAGAAGAAAAATTAGGAAGTAAATTCTAAGTCAAGAGTCTAGAAAAGAATTTTCCCAAGGGAAGGAATACAGATAAGAAAACAGAAAGACACCATAACTTATCATGAACAAACAATTCAAAAATCCAAGAGATTAGGTGGGGGTTATCACAGGAGACCAGGGAGCACAAGAACCAACTCATGAGAACACTTAGTGGGACCAAAAAAATGGTTTAAAATGCTTAGCTTTTCAGATAGGCACATAGGCAGGGAACACTATACTCATTCTTCAATGTTCTTCAACACTGCAGGTTTAATATAAAATGGGTATTGTCGTTTTTATAGTAGTTCCAGACCAAAAGAAATATAATACCATCATGTTTTAGAGTTAGGTCTAAACAGTGTGTGTGTGTGTGTGTGTGTGTGTGTGTGTGTGTGTGTGTGTGCGCGCTCGCACTACCAAGAGAGCATCAGTTTGAAACAGTTGTATATATAAACTGGAAAAAAATGTCCATCTCATGTTTAAATAGATCACACGTTCTGCTAATGGGATAAATACACCTGCTAGGCATGACACAACTTCTCAAATTTTGGAAACCTATGTGACACTGTCACTCTCATTTTCTGTCCCATCCCGATTTTCCCACTGAGTCTTTCATCAAACTGACTCACAAAACTCCAGCTTCCCAAAGATGTGATGTCCTCAAAAGAAATATGATATGCCCTCATGTTGAATCTGTGAACTAGCTCAAGCTCATTAGTCAAGTAATTAACGTAATGTCTAACAGATGTTGTGTATCATATGCTTCCTTCAAAACTTTTAAATTAAGCTGGCTATGACAGTAATCTAAGTACTTAGGGCGCTAATGTAGAAAGGCTGCAAGTTCAAGACCAACTAGAGCCACATAATAAATTCCAGGCCAGCCTGGGCTACATAGCAAGAGTCCATTTCATAACACAACAAAACGAGATACTGGGCTAAAGGTGTAGTAGACAGTAGCTAAAGACCTGTTTAGCCTGTATGAGGTCCTGAGTTCAATCTCAGAAACACCACAAAGAGAATTCTTCAATATCCCAAGGTGCCCCTGAGTTCAACACAGCCCCTACCATGCCCTGGCGTGGAGCAGGGACCTGAAAGGACAGATGTGCATATGAAAATTTGTTCCCTGTGGTATTAACAGGGTGTTCTATCATCCTGCACGCTTCTGGAAATATTGAATATAGAATAACTACTCCAGACCACAGCTCTCGGCTTTGTATCAAAAAAGCCAAACACGATTAAAGCAACTGTACCTCACAATTGATTTTCTCTCCATATCCCGTGAAGGCTGGGGCCTGAAGAAATTCCCAGGTTCCCCCTTTGTCAAAGGTGATGACCGACCTCATGTTCTCCTCATTCATAGAACCATTCATCAGGGTGGCAATGTAGACTCCTTGTAAGCCTTCCACACGGTGAAAGTCAGCAAAGGGCTCATTTGCAAAATACCTGCAGTCAGAGAAAAAGAAGCAGCCATCACCCGAGACTGGTATTTGCTTGCCATTTTGAATTGTGTGCAGCACAATATTGAACCATCTTAAAGGACACAATACTACAGGAATTAAGTATGTTCACAATGTTGTGCAACGTGAGTTCCAGAACATTTTCATTATTGGCAGGCACTGTCTGTTTTCCTTCGGTTCCCAGGCCTTGGCAACCACAGATTTGCTTTCTGTCTCTATGGATCTGTCTCTATGGATTGCCTGGTCTGGCTATTCTGTATAAATTGAATCATACAATGCCCTTTATATCTTGTTACTTTCACTTACATGTTTACAAGGTTCACCCGTGTAACATGCACCAACCAGGTCTTGAAAGATAAATAAGTAAAAATTGTTTTTAAGGGCCAGGATGCTCAGCCAACCAACAACTTCTAAAAGGGCATTAAGAATGCAAAGATGCCATAAAGCAGTTGACAGAACCGCATTCATTTCTTCACTCTGAATACTGATCCAAATCCTTCCAGAAGCCTGGACAAGTGGGAAGCCTTGAGCCAGACAGGCAAGACACTAGTGACAATGCTGGGACTCACAGTCTAATCTGGCCTGTAGAAATACGAGTATTAAACACGACAGGGCTACCAGTCAGGAGTTCTAGCAGCATCTATTACAGGTTGGCAATACAACAGCACAGACAGCTGGCATGGCTCTACAAAGCCCGAGGCTGCACTTGTGAACAGAAGAATAAGAGTCTCCCCAGTTTTACCTGCTGTGCTAAGAGCCCACTCACCAGAAGGGAGCTTTGCACTAACATGGCATACCCATTCCAAATGTCACATCTGTGAGGAATGGTCACCGTGGTTCATGAGTGGCTTTTAAAACTTGAAGTATGCCCTTTATGTCAGGGGTTCTTAGCTATGGGCTACACAATAAAGCAGAAGACTGGTTATGTCTTCCCCATCCTATGCTATGGATAATGGTTGGGCCACCTCAGACAGGGAGACACACACAGAGACCACTGCTACAGGAAAGGGGGCAATCCATGAGTAGTAATGGGGTGGGAGATGGCTCAGCCGTTAAAGGCTAGGCTCACAACCAACAATAAATAAGTAGTACTAATGAAGCTGCTCTTGGTGGGCAGAATGAGCAAAGTCACCCAAAACATAATGGGATACAGACCAAACCCTCTGTCATGGGATTCCTTGGGTCTCTATTAGGGAGGGAATGGGCTAAAGGGCTCTGGCCTTCTACACTGCTTACCTCCATTCTCTTACCTCTGAAGTCTGCCATCCTGAGGCCCACTGCTTGTTATGCCCAACTGGGGTACCTGGGTTTCTCTCAGACAAGCCCAAGTTCTTTGCCCTACCCATTTTGCTAGGGTTTTAGCATTTAGTTCCTGTCAGCTTTTACCTCAAAATCCCTCTGCTCTAATGCCAATCCTTGCCTCATTTCCCTCTTTGACTTGCACTAGAACAATAGACTTCACGTCAGTATTCTCTTCCAAGAGCCCCTTTTCTTCCATCTTACCATCAGCAGACCATACCAAGGCACTTCTCCCCTTCTTTCCTGGGATCTAGGGCTGAAACTTGCCATCCAGTTCACCAGGCTCCCCCTTCAGCCACACCCCAAGCAAAATCTACATCCTGGCAGACATCTCCATGGACTAAGCCAAGTGCTCCTTCTTAAATTGCCCCAATGGGTCTGCCACATGGTTAGCACATTAGTTCCTACAACAGTCCTACAGTTAGCTATGGCTTTCTATGCAGGTCCTCCAAGCACAACAGATGCCAGAGTGATCCCCTATTCAGAGATCTCACACCATTTCTTTAAGGAAATGAGAGCTAGTTCCTCAGCACCAGGCTGCCCTACTCAGTCCAGAGATGTTTATTCTAAACCAGCCTGCCTAGGTCATCTGATAACTCACCCTTATCCTATTTCATCTGGCTGAGACTGAGCCACAAGTGACAACAGGTCACTGAATTGAGCACATCTGAAAACCTGTCTCCCTGAGATAAAATGTGAAAATAAGAAGAAAGCTGAACAGGATGTTGGCCTACCACTCTTAACATGAATCTATTTTCAAGGTCTCAAGCGGGACTCAGAAATCACAGGAGGAAACTGTCACACAGAAAAGGCAGTCTAGATGTGTGGAAAAACCCTGTGGTGACAGAACTGAGGTCACTGCTTCCTTGATAGTCTTCTCCAGGTTGGGCTCCCATTCTGTCTTATCATGAGAAAGTCATCTAATATCTGACAACTGAGAAAGATAAAAAAGTCCTTATCAAGCTGTATGTTATTCACTCCATAGCCATGGGGGTCTCCAGGTTGGGGGTGGGGGGTGCTAAAGTTGGCAAAAGACCTGAGGGACAACGGCTCATAAATTTTAATTATTAAAACAAGTAAACTCTACTATTCACCCACAAAAGGAAATAAGGTGCTAACATATAGCCCATGGGGGTGAACCTTGAACACATTAGAAGCCAGACACAAAAGGCCATATGCCATTGCATTGATTCCATGTATACCCAATATCCAGAAAAAGTAAGCCAGAGTCCTCAACTGCTCCCAAGGCCCTCAATAAAGGTAGTAATCAAAAAACATCCAAAAGTAGAGGCACAAGACAGTGCTACACTTGTGATTGCCAGATAAAGGGGCAATGACACTGGGGCCTTCGCTATCTCATACTACCTTATAATTACCTCTAAAAGAGGCTGTCAATCAGTCACTTGGAAGCAGGGCCCCTGTGTTCCCTGAAGTGATGGTATCTTCCAACCATTCTTGCCCATTGGCTCAGAGACCACAAAACCCAAGGGAGTGGTTAACAGAGTGCCTGAGGTCCTAAATGTCATGGAGAACAGTAGCACTCAGCCTTGGCTGTGCACAGAAATCCCCTGGGGAACCACCTGAACCATACTCCAGACTGAGTCAATTGCAATCTGGGGACACCAGATGCAGGGATGGGTGTAGGGCACCCTTGGGAAGCACCTCAAGCAAGGCCATATGTGCAACTAATATTGCAAACCACTGAAGTAAGGAGAGGCTGGTGACCTTTGCTAACCCAGGACGGGACACGGTCATCTCCTTACCTCACCAGGGTGTCACTGCCGACCCCTCCTGGGCTATAATACAGCACGTTCTCCAGGGACAAGGAGAATTCCAGCCCCTCTGCTTCTGAGATATATAAGTTAGTACTGTTGTTGCTGTGACTCACACACACGAACACCTGGTCCTCTGAAGCATCGGCGATGTAGTATTCCTTTGGAACCCAAAGTCAGGAAACAAATAGTCAAAAACACAATTATCCTTATGGGTGGGCTTCTCATACACACATGAAAGCAATGACTCCAAGTGTCCCAGTGATGAAAGTGGCTACAAAGGCAGGGGCCAGGGCTGGACCTGAACAAAGAAGCTAAAATGCCTTTCAAGTGTCCATGGCTGGTCTACACATGGAGCTTGCTGGTAAAATACAAGAATGGACCTCCAGGGGCTAGAGAGATGGCTCAGTGGTTAAGAGCATGGCTGCTCTTCCAGAGGACCTGGGTACAATTCCCAGCACCCACAAGGCAGCTCACAACTGTCTGTAACTCGAGTTCAGGAGATCTGACACCCTCACACAGACATACATGCAGGCAAAACACCAATGCATATAAAAGAAAAATAAATCATTAAAATTTTACGAAAGAAGAATGGGCCTCTGACCTCCATAAGTGACCTAGAAACCTCTTTTTGGTAATGATGCTTCACCATTTTCCCCAGCAGACCTTTTATTAGCACAAGGCACAATATAAATTAATACACATTTCATTTCCTCTTCTTTTCCCCAAGGAGACTAAGAGAACCCTTAGAAACAGAAAGAACTGATCGTCACTCCTGTTACATATCCCCCCCTGAGCTATAAACCAACTGCTGATGCCAAAGCCTACGAAGGAGACCTCCTCACTGCAGGCACTGCCCTCGGACCCAGAATGCTTTGTCCTAGCTATCTGTGTGCACTGATAGTGAAGACTTTTGAGCACAGACTATGTATGTTTTCTCCACTCTGTCCTCAGTCTTTCTAACCTGTCTGTTTCTACAAAGTAGAATCTGAATGCATCCTCTTTCAGAACCTTAGCCATCTGCAAGCAATATAGCATGTGGTTAATCAGCAAGTGCCATGCACAAGTTTCCCATTGCTTGAGGACTGGCATATGAGGCCACAGTCCGGCACCAACCCCTCTGCCAATTCTACTCCACTTAAAGCAGGAAAAAGGATTCCCATTCAGCTCCACTTCAAACAGTAAAGTGCACAACAGCAGACCAACAGGCCCAGAGTATAACAGGTCTCTTCAGAGGCCTCTCTGGAGGGTGCCCACAGGGAGAATATAAAATGCTCACGCCAGCCAGCAGGACATTCCCATGATGCTTGGAGACAAGCATCCTTCCCCTACCCCCTTTCAGCAGACTTCACTCACATTAATAGGATGCTTTGTGACAAACTGGGCTGCTCTCATAGGCTTCCGGCCAAAGGAGACCCAGAGCTGGACCGATGATTGCTGCTGGCTGCCTGGAATATGCTGCCAAAGAAGAGGAGAGAAAAATTAACTGTGCCAGATGACAGTCCCTCAAAACATGGGGAAAAGGAAAGTCAGACCCCTCTGATTCCACTGAAAACACAAAGCAGTCTATGACTCGCCCAGAGCTTAGCTGTTTAGTACAGGACACCCAGTCTACACCTCCTACAGACACTCCTACAGACAAGGAGGGACAGTGATATGAAAAGAGAACTTGAACATGGGGAGGGTAGTGGAGGCCACCAATGAATAAAAAGAGCAGTAGAAGGGGAGAAAGTTGTGGAATATAGACAGAGCAGAGCCAGTACAGGTTAGACCAGCCACACGTTATAGAAAGCTCACAAAGCTATCCAGTTACAAGGCTTCAACTTGAAAAGACTTGGCAGAATCCTTGGTGGTTCCATGTACCAATCTCTGAATACTTCCCATGGAGTAGGATCTTTTGATAGAATACATATTCTTTGATAGAACAGAACACTCAAAATAATGCTGAATATCCATGTTGTATTGCAGAGATTTTAAACCGTTGCTGAGGTCATGAAAATGTTAAGGTGCCCTATGCATACAAAGATCTTCATGGCTACCAATGAATACATACACCCATGAAAAACATATATTGCATGTTGTATTTTTTTCAATGCTTCAAACTCTTTTCCCTAAAATAAGGTATTTCCCAGCAATACCAAAAGCCCAACATTAGCTGAACTTTCAACAGAAGAAATACAAAGGCCAATAAATATATTAAAAAGTGTTCCATGTTCTTAGCCATCAGGGAAATAAGAACTAAAACTACTTTGAGATTCCATCTCATACCAGTCAAGATGGCTATCATCAAGAAAACGAATGCTGGCAAGTGTGTGGAGAAAGAGCCCGCTTGATTGTAGAAAAGTAAACTTGATAGCCTCCAACAGAAGTCATTGTGGAGTTGCCTCAAAATGCAAACATAAAATCTGATTTGGCCCAGTTAAGCCACTCCTGGATATATGTTCAAATGACTCTGTCAGCATACCACAGCAATACTTGCACAACCAAGTTTAAACCACAATGGCTAAGACATAGAACCAGCCTGGACGCCCATCAGCAAAGGAACAGATAAAGAAAATGTTATACATTTGCACAATGGAATTTTATTCAGCCCTATAGAACAATGAAATCATGACATTTGTAGGGAAATACATACAATTAGAAATTAGCCTGACTAAGAAAGACAAATTCCATGTTTTCCTCTCATATGTGCAACCTGGACGTACACACCTGTGTGTAGTTATGACAGTAGAAAGAAGATGAGAGAGCTTAAAGTCTGGGGAGGGAAAGATGCTTTAACTTTGAAAATAAAAAAAGAAACTGGAAAAAACTTCCAATAGGTATTTGCAAGGTGGCTTAGGAATATGGGGGAATATATACATATATTATACATACATATATACATACATAAATTCATACACACACACACACACACACACACACACACACACACACACACACACCCCACTCTTACCCATAAATACAAAATCACAGACCACTAGATCAATTTTTCAAGGTCTCAAAAGGTACCCTTTCCCTGCTTCTGAGGGAATTTTTCCTAAATTGAGATAAATTCTGGTTCACCCTAAGGTACTCTGAAAGCATTATTGTATTGTTTTATGACCATCAAGAAAAATATCAGCAATGAAATTAGTAATGACACACTACTGACTGTGCAAGACAGTGTCAGGCTCTCATGATCTTAATAAACCACAGGGTTTTTTGTTAGTCGGTCTTTTTTTTTTTTAACTGTTTTTAGTAAGCCCCATGGAAAGATTTAACATTACAAATCAGTGTAAGACAAAATAAAGAGTTCTGCTCCCACTGTCCTTCCCTCTTCCCATGCCACCTTCCGGGGAGTCCACTGGCAGACAGCTCTGTGCACTTGCTCTATCACACACAATACAGTGATGACAAGCTTGCCTTCACCCAACACCTAGCCTCCTTTCCCTCTGAACAACAGGGCCCTGACTAACACCCAGAGGAAAGATCTCCATTGTTTATGTTCTCCTCATCATGCATAGTCACATAGTCAAGTTCTACTTAATGAAATGCAGAGAGAGATATCATGCTGGCTTTGGGGAAAGCTACTCAAAGGCACCAATCAAATGGGACCTCTACCATTTTGGCCATTCTGGCTTTCCTTACTCTTGCCAACTGGGTAAAGACTCGGCCAGCGAGGACATGTTAAGAATAGGAATAACTCCCTAGGATGGTGGAATGGAAAGACACAATCATAACCTTAGCCTTAGCTTGCTAGTCTACCTGAGGCAGCATGGGAAAGAGACAAAACACCCATCTTGGCCTTCACTTTGATTTCTAGTCTGCTATCAGTGGCCCAATTTAATTCCAAACTGATGTGTGCAATCCAGTGTTTTGCACATAAACTGGGTCACAATAGAGAAAAGATTGAGCAACTTCTTCAAAGAGACAGGGCATAAATCTTGCCAACCCACAACTTAGCCTTTCCTCATTGATCATGTATCGCAGACATCTTTCCATTTCACAACTGATGATTGGCACTGAGGTGATTTCCAGAAGCACTCTCTAATACAATGCATGGGTACGTACTATCTCTTTTACAGCTGTACACCACTTGCAGAGCACATTCTAAGATGAGTAAGATTTTTTTTTAAAGCAGATTTTTTGTTTCCTGAGGCAAGATCTCATGTAGCCCAAGCTGGCCTTGAGCATACTGTAGAGTTGAGGATAGATAGCCTTGAACTCCTGAAACTCCTGCTAGTACCTCTTAAGTGCTGGGCTTACAGGCATGAGCCACCATAAAAAGCTTGCCAAACTTTCATTTTGGATTGATAGCCTGAAAGGCTGTATCCAATACTAGACCCATCAACACATACAACAACTAGGGATTGTTTAAATGCATCCATCTGGATGAATGGTCTAGAATTTGATACTTTATGGAGAGTGTTACTTTTTTAAGTTTTGAGTTTTGAGTTCTGATGATAGCATGATATGGATTTCAGTTTATAGTTGAGCTGATGTCAAAGCAAAAAAGTAATAAACAATCAAGGAGGAACTAAGAAATGACATATTCTTAGCCACAAAGGCCAAAGGATGCTTCAATGAGCTCTTCAACTCTAAATCTCACAGCAGTTTCAGCTAGAGAAAACTGGTAGACAGCAGGAGGCCACCCAAGGTGCCTGGTGACATGAGGACAATAGCTAAGAGGCACCTGAGTTTCAGCTAGAGCAGTCAATGTTACATTTCCCCTGGAACAATGACAAAGCTTCAGTGGAATCATCACTACTTATGGTTCCCAACAGGGAGCATCAGTCATAAAACACAGAAACCCAATGTAGTGGCCCAGGCCCCTCCTGCTATGGATGATTCATCTTGTCAATTTGATTACACTAAGAAACACCTAGGGCTGGTGATGGTGGTGCACACCTTTTAATTCCAGCACTCAGGAGGCAGAGGTAGGTGGATCTCTGTTGAGTTTGAGGCCAGCCTGGTCTACAAACCCTGTGTTGAAAAACCAAAAGAAAAAAAGGACCAAAGAAACACTTAGGGATGAGAAAAACACAATCCTGGGTGTGTCTGGGAATATTTCCAGAGAGGTTAACAGAAGAGAAATGACCCTCGGAACACAGGGAGTCACTGTCCCCAGGCTGGCTGGGAACTAGGTATAATAAAAAGTGGGAAAGGAGCAAGATGGCTGTTGTTGGGTTCTCTCTGCTTCTGGGCACCGGGAAGTGAGTGCCACGCCTGGCCCCACCCTCCTCACTGTTATGGACTGAAAGCTCTGAAATCCTTGGTCCAAATAAACCTTTCTCTTTGAAATTATTTCCTTCCTTCTAGTATTCTGTCCCAGTAACAACCCTAATCTGATTATTACTTCCTAGCTGCTCAGGGGGCTGAAGCAAGAGAATTATCTTAGCCTAGGAGTTAGAGACCAAACTGGGTGACAGAGCACCCAGTCATTTAAGAAAAAACAATCAACCATAAATAAAGCATAGATAAACTATGACTGGCTGGCTAGCTTTCATAGTACCAGAAGGAGGCTGCTAAGGAAAAGTCAACAACAGTCTCATCCAGCTATGAACTCCTTGAGCTACAAAATGACCAACATGGCAAGAAATGCCTATACGTGAAATGACAGGATGAATGATATGGAAGAAACCAATAGCCTTCTTTTTGGATTTAAGAAGACTGTACCATAGAGGAAACACTTGCCTGGTACTGTGAATTTGACCAAGAATCCACAGCTGGGAAGCTCATAGGCCACAGGGACAAACCTATTACTATTATTTTGCTAAATGGACATAGTAGCAGACTGTTGTCCAAATATGTCTTTCTACACCCATAGATGAGTGCAGCTCTCAGATTTCCACCAGAGAAGCTTCTTTGTGGAGTAGATGGTGGCCCAGGCAGAACTCATAATTGGTCAAAGTACAGAGAAAAAGTGCTGGTCATAAATGGGACATCTAGATCAGACCTATCCTCCCAAAGTTCAGGGAACACTTCAGAAGAGGGGCAGTAAGATTATAAGAGCCAGTAGTCAAGGAGGACCTGTGCAAAACAATGTCTTCTCGACACGACAGAACCAAAGAATATGAATGTGCGTGGCTATGACTGCTTGCACAAGACCTGTACAACATCAAGCCAGTCAACATTCCAGCATGAGGGTAGAGGAGCAGCTAGTGGAGCAGCTGTTAATGTGGATGGCTTCTGGGAGAGAGAGTTGGTTTTCATTAAGAGTGGGTGGTTCCTGGTAGAACATCAAGCCAGTCAACATTCCAGCATGAGGGTAGAGGAGCAGCTAGTGAAGCAGCTGTTAATGTGGATGGCTTCTGGGAGAGAGAGTTGGTTTTCTCCAAGAGTGTGTGGTTCCTGGTATGTCAAACCTGCTCCAGTGGTGGTCCCACACTCTTAAGTAGTAGTACATGGGCAGCACAAATTGGATTCAGTGGATTATAGACTAAAACAAAACAAACAAAAATGGACATGCTGTTATATGG